CGTATTCTTAGAGGAAGTACTTAGCATTTGGAGATTTTGAACATTGATGGTTTTGATTCTTTAGGACGACTTTTGAAAGTGCCGTGTCAAAGTTATAAATTTAAACTTCACATCCCACACTTTGAGACTGTGTGTCATATATCTAGTGAGCCCAGTGGACTTCCATTTACCACATTTTGATGTGGTTTATTTTTGCTAGATTAGACTCAACAAGGATGATTCTTATGAGAATGCTTAGGCTCTTGTGCTATATGGACAATTTGGGGTCTGTAGGCACATTCCAGTAGATATGGTGAGTGCTGTGTCCGACTGGCAATTTGACTTTGAGTTTAATGGACAAAAATTAAGTGTTACCTGGTTTTTGTTTGGCTTAATAACTAATTACATTTTATTATGTGAGTAAAAAGGCTGAACACTATAATTGCTTGATAGGGAAACATGTAGGGGCTTTGTCTCCTTTCAAAAGTTTTTCTTAATAGTGTTTGCATTTTATTTTAGGCAAAAGTCAACAACTCTAGTTTAATTGGAGTGGGCTACACTCAGACTCTGCGGCCTGGTAAGTATTCTTGGTAAAGTAGGGTTTTTCTGATAGTGTGTTAGTTTTCATTTCTTATTTTACAAACCTTTCAATCACACAAAATTGACAAACGAGTACAATGAACGCATGTTTACTTTTGGCCAAAGTTTTGTATTTCCTTTTTTTTTTTGCTGGGCTGTTGGAAGCTGCAGCTATCATGACGCTTCCCTAAATGCTTCAGCATATCTCCTCAGAGTGAGAACATCCTCCTGTTTGCATAATTCAGTACCGTTTTCAGTGATGCCATATTATTATCCATTCTCTGGTCATTTTCCTCACTTGTACCTGAAATGTCTTACAGTAATTTTTATTTCTTCAATCAAAGTTCACTCATTGCTTTGGTTGTTCGGTCTCTATAATCTAATTTATTTTACATCGTATTTTGAGCCTTGCTGTATTCTCTCAAGCATTACTTCTCAAACTTTAGTGTGTGCATGAATCACCTGGGGGATCTTATTAAAATGCAAATGCTGTTCTTACAGCTCTGAGGAGTTCTGTTTTTCTAATAAGCTTTTAAGTGATGCCAGTGTCCCTGGTTCTTGAACCACCATTTGGGTAGTAAGGTTCTAAGGCACTAGGAGCTTCTGTCTCCTCCAAATAGGGCTTTCCACTCACTATTATTTTTGACAATTTTGAAACCTAAAAGAAAAGAATGGTACCATGAACACCCATATGCCCATATCAACATTCACCACATTTATTTTATCTTTCCATGTCTGTATATATAGTCCTTTTTTTCACATGCCCTTATGAATTATTTAAATGTATGTTTTATAGCTATGTAGACACGTCAGCCCTGGTGTGCATATCTGTGTAAAACATTTTTCTTTATAACTACAATACCATTCTCACAGCTAAGAAAATTAACAATAATATTTGGTATGTACTGTAGTCTATTCAGATTTCTCCACTTGTTCCCAAAATGTTTATTGTAGTTTTTCCTTTCTAGGATTCAATTATGATTTTCTTTAGTCTGATAGTATGTTGAACATTATTGCATTTTCTAGAGCACTTTGTACTTTATAATTAACATTTTTATGTTCTGTGACTTGACACCTTACCCAGGGTGGTGCCAACAGAATTCTCTCTGCCAGCTCAGGTATTCACAAGTGCCCTCTGGTGGCTGGCACTAACAGGTCATCTGACAGGCTGAGGAAAAGTGATAGGCAGGCTATGGCACAGTAAAGAAGACTAGATTCTCATGAGGTGTTTCATGCACGTCTTGGTTGTCTGCTTCTGTTTACAGGTGTGAAGCTTACGCTGTCTGCTCTGGTAGATGGGAAGAGCATTAATGCTGGTGGCCACAAACTGGGGCTTGCCCTGGAGTTGGAGGCTTAATCCAGCTGAAAGCAACCTCTGGGAATGGATATCAGAAGATTTGGCCTTAATATATTTCCAGTGTGACCAGCAGGCTTTTCTCCCTCCAAGAAGGTGATCAAAACAGGATGAGCTAAACAAGAGCTGTGTTTTAAATATGTATGTAGACAGTTACTTGTTAGCTGGTTTCTAGTTGAATTGGTTATCTAGTTACCAATGCGGCAGTCCTGCAGTCACCTATACATTATTTAATGTATTTAACTGTTAAATGCGCTACCCACCAATAATGAAATAGACCTTTATGAAAACTGTACAATTGTGTGCATGTTGTTTTTATGTTCCTTTTAACATTGAATATTGCCATTGAATGAAATGGATCAGCGGATTTAAGATGAGGTTAAATTTTTCTTGTTAAATTCAACTATTAGAGTAACTTTTGGTATCCTAAAATATGACAAATTATGAATAAAATAACTATACGTAATTAATGACTCCAAGTATTTGCAGAGTTAAAAATTTGCTAGCTAGGGTTAAATCTCCCTGGTAATCTAGCTAATAATTATTTTTTCCAGTGAGCATTTTGCTCTTTACCAAAACCTGTGCCACAAACTTCTGTGTGTCCCTAGAGTAACTCCTTGAGCTTTTTAGATCACAATAAAGTAAGAGGATACATGCCTTTTACATCTTCAGCTTGTAAGTTTATGCAGAATTAACATTGGATCATTGTTAACCCCAGGAGGTGTTGGAGAGGAAGTGATGAAGAGTAGTGCTAGAAGTTTTATACACACACCTTACCCTGTGAGCTAATGCTGTGGATAAAGAACCAGGCCCTAGTTAGGTGGGATGAGACTAGGTGTAGGGAAATGAAATAAGGTGTAGACAGTATCCGGATCCAGAGGGACGGTGAGAGGAGTATATAGGCCCAGTGAGAGGTCATTACTCATTTTCCTGACGGGAAAGCTTGGGCCTGAGTTTGGGACCAGAAGCAACATCTTCAGTCTGTGTGGCCCATGGCCTTCATCTGGACTTGTGCTGCATAATAGAAATTAATAGGTAATTTTGGTTGGAAAAGTAGGTAAAAAGTTTTTTGAAGGGTGGGTACAAAGGTTAGAGAAGGGGAGATTTGTTCAACAAATTCATTATACAGACCTGAAGTACAGTAAAAGAACAGATAAAATAGAGTGCTTTGAGATTCATTACCCAAAAAGTGATTGTTGCTGAAAATGTCCTGGTTAAGAAGAATGTGATGAGGAATTAGAAGCCTAAGTTAAACCCCCCTCACAGGTGTGCTGGGGCACAAAGACTCCTGGTCTCACTGTTTGTCCTAAGGGACTGACTAGAATGGCCCACATGAATCAGACACATGACTTAATGGCAGAAAGCTGGAATTTGAGCCAATTTATTTGAGTCCGGACCTATTGCTACGTAAGGAAGAACTGTGAAAGCACCTCTTGTGCTTTTGGGACACATACGTGTGAAGCAGCCCGGCCAGCGTGGCTCTGGTTGAGCGTTGACCTATGAACCAAGGAGGTTACAGTTTGATTCCTGGTCAGGGCATATGCCCGGGTTGCAGGCTTGATCCCTAGTAGGGGGGTGTGTAGGAGGCAGCCTATTAATGATTCTCTTTTATCACTGACGTTTCTCTCCCTCTCCCTTTCTCTCTGAAATCAATAAAAAATAAAGATTTTTAAAAAAGGTATGAAGTGCCCTAACCAGTTTGGCTCAGTGGATAGAGCGTAGGCCTGCGGACTGAAAGGTCCCAGGTTCGATTCCGGTCAAGGGCATGTACCTTGGTTGCGGGCACATCCCCAGTGGGGGGTGTGCAGGAGGCAGCTGATCGATGTTTCTCTCTCATCGATGTTTCTAACTCTCTATCCCTCTCCCTTCCTCTCTGTAAAAAATCAATAAAATATATTTTTTAAAAAAAAGGTATGAAGTAGACCAGGAAAGTCTCAAACTGCTGGTGGTGGTCGGGTGGGCGGGGAGAAACCGGGTTACTGGGCCTGGCAACACCTGCAGCCCCTGGATGGCCTGTTGCCCATTAGCTGACAGGTGGCCCTCCCTCATGCTGAGGCTGTTCACCTGGTCCAATACTCTGGACTGGGGTGCAAGCATATGTTGTGAAGTGTGGCACAAATGAGTTACCAGTTTGTCAACGGTCTGTGTACAGAAAATTAGACCTATCCACCTATGTGCACCTATGAGTGGGAGAGAGGATGGGTTTATAGCCAGGGGGCTGAGAGTTGTCTGAAACACAAGGTATATTACAGGACCTGTAGGATTATGAAAGCTGCCACCTGTGGGCTCCTGTGGCTTCTAGCCTCCTCCAGTGCTCCCACCATCCTGGCCTAACCAGGTTGTAGTAAAACCTAATTGTATTCTAGGCTGAGGCAGTGTTTACTAGTGAAAAGAACACTTACTGGCTGAACGTGCCTTCATCTGTGGCTTGGACATCCTACAGGATTTGGGAAGGTTTAAACAAGAAAATCACCAGGCTCCCTTGCCACCTCCTGCTCAGAGGTGCTGGTGCTGCAAAGCCTGTCTTCCTCTGGGCACTTGTTAAAAGTTGCCGTACATACAGGCTGGTCTGCTTCACATCTGGCCAGTGATCCCACCCAGTCCCTAACCTCTAAGTCCTCTTGTCTAAGCCAAATGGCCTGGTTTGCAGAGGTGAGGCCGAGCTGACATGGCAAAACATGGGCAAGTGGCTGGCTGCACTGGTCTCACCTCCCCTGCAAGGCCCGTTGTCAGATCCCAGATACGGTTCCCCACTGGTCCCACCTGCACTGGGATTGAACCTCAGTCACTATTCTTCCTAGGAAGGTGTCGGGGAGACCAAGGTGGCTGCACCCATCTAGCCCTGAGCCCGGAATAGAGGCGGACCTGAGGAGCGAGGTCCTCTATCTAATGGCATGTGGGCAGGTCAGTTAGACTTGTACCGCCCGGGCTCTAGTCAGCTGGAGGCTCCTGTGCCTGGGCCACAGCCCTGGTGCCTGGGCCGTCAGGGCGCCCGGGAGGTGAACTAACCTGAAGGCTCCCCCGAGCTCAAGAAGCCGGCTGTGCTGGGCCTTCCCTTCCTACCCCACTTCAGTGGAAGCTCAGAAGGTTGTGTCTAGGACCCACTTTATTGACATTAAAAACGGGGTCGGTGGCTGGGATTCCCAGGTCCCCTCCATCGAGGCCGTGGCTAGGGGCAGCCTTAGATTTTGAAGGCTAAGGTGAGGCCGTCGCCCAGGGGCAGGAGGCTGATGTGCACCCGGGCGTCGCGCAGGATGCGCTCGTTCAGGTTTCGGACGCACTGCGTTTCCAAGTCTTGCGGTTGGGGTTGCAACACTTGTCCCCGCCACAGGACCTGCGGAGGGGCGGGGCGTCACGGGGCGGGGCCTCCGGGGGAGGGACCCGAGCAGGAGGCGGGGCGCGAGCTGGAGACTCGAGAGCCTGGAAAGGCCTGGGGACTCGGCTTGAATACCTCGAGGGCGGGGCTTACCTGAGCACTGGGCGGGGCTTTGGGGCGGGGCCCAGGGAGGGGACCACGGGAAAGAGACTCCCAGCCCGAGTGTCCCCCGAGTCTCATCCTTACACTGACGACAGCGAGGATGCCTCCGGGGCGCAGCAGCTGCAGGCACCGCTCGTAGTAGAGGGTGCAGTTCTCCTTGTCGGCGTCCACCACGGCTACGTCGAAGGTGCCAGCTTCGCCCGCGTCCAGGAGCTCATCTTGCGGGGGAGGGGGGAGGGGCAAGGTGGCTGAGTCCGCAGTCCCAGTGGCCGGAGCCCTGCCCGGGTCAGTTCTGCTGCTGTGACCCCTCGGGGACTCCGGCCTCGAGGACGCCAGCATCGCCACCCAGCATGTGGCCGCGCACCGAGGCTGGGCAGCGGGGCTGGCATTGCCCCAGGCCCGTCCGGAGGGCCTGGTCACTAGCTGGCACCCGATGGCCCTATTTGGGAAATGGCGCCAAGGCCCTTTTACAGCGGTGCTCACCCAGGGTTTCCAGGGCGGGCTTCAACCGAAGGTCAATCTTGTGTTCCTCTTCAGCCTGCGGATGGAGGGGGGTCAGGGCCAGCGGGTCCTTTCTGCCGGTGCTGGGCTCCGGGGACCTGAGAGGGACACTCACCTTCCGCCATAGGGGCCGCCCCAGCTCCGGGGGCCCCGGGTTCACCTCGCAGGTCACCACGCGCCCGGCCGGGGGCAGGGCTAGGGCCAGTGCTAGGGCCGAGTAGCCTGTGAACGTGCCTGGGGACGGGGACATGCATAGGCTCAGGCCACCGTGCGGAGATGGCCGGTGACTTGGACCCCCAGTGGTCGCGGCCGCGCGCCCTACCCAGGTCCAGCGCCTTCTTGGCCTTAATGAGCCGCGCCAGGTTGGCCAGAAGCTGGGCCTGCTCACAGGTCATCATGGACTCTCCCCGCGGCTGCTCCAGCGTCAGCTGTGTGTGTGGTGGGGAGAGGGTCGCACCGGCTCTGCTGTCCCCCCAGGTGGAGGCCCCCCTCCGCGGGGGTGGCTGTGGGCACCGCCCAGGGGAGCGCCTTCCCAGGGAACGCCCACCGCGCACCGCGCACCGGCCGAGGAGCGCGGAAACCGAGTGGGTCCCCGCCCAGCCCAAGGTCATGCAACCACGTGGGACCCGCGGGGCTGGGGTGGGCGCCCCTCCCCGCCCTCGGCCCCGCTGACCAGCCGCAGGCTCCGCAGCGCTGGGTGCTCCCGCAAGGAGCGGCTCAGCAGATACTGCCACAGGGGGCTGTCCTCGGGGGGCAGCAGGCGCTTCTCTCGCCGGGATCGCCGTGAAGAGCACCGTCTCCCTGCCGGGCGGGGTGCTGGGTCAGGGCCTGGGACTCCAGAGCGCCCGGGGTGAGCCTTAGCCGCAGCCAGCCCCGGGGACTCCCGCTTTGCTCCCGCCCCGCCCCGCCCCGCACGCGGGACCGCTGCAGAGGGAGCCGCTAGCTCGTTCCTACTCACCCAGGAAAAGGCCGGTAGCGAAGGCAGCGCCCAGAGCAGCCGATCCCAGGGCCAGCGCGGCGGGCACAGAGAGCCGAGGCATGGGCTGGATCATGGCGCGGGCAGGGCGCGTGGGTGGCAAAGTCACTTGTGCTCGGGCTGCCGGGGCCGCGCTCGGACCCTCAGGCCTTCCTGTTCTGTCTTGTCCCCCGCACTGCCCGCCGACTGCGGCCTCGAGCACCATCTGGCGGCCGCACAGCCTTACTGCAAGCCCTGCCCGAGGGAGCCGGTCGCCATCTGGTGGCTGCGCTCGGAACTTCGCCCGGCGGGGAGCAGGACTGCGTGCAGGGTGTGGGAGCCTGGGTCAGGCAGGAAAATATGATACGCTTCTGCCTCATCACTACCATTTCTGCTGAGACCCTTGGAGCACATGTGGGAGGGTGAGTGGGCCGTCGGTGTAGCAGGATGGTAAGGAGTAAAAAGTGAGAGAAATTAAAGTTCCTGAGAGAATTAGAGGAGGCCTTTGGGAGAGATGACCAAGGGTATCAGGTTGAAGGAGTGAAGGACCGGGTTTGGGGGTACACAACGAGAGG